TGGACAGCATCAATGTAAATCCTTGTGTACGAGGGGCATTTTCTTCGTGGCCGGAGTATAACAGAAGCTCCTCTGAAGCTAGCCGTTGTCCAACTTGCATCCAATGTGTTTCACTGATTCCAAGAACCTCCAGGTTGTATCTCCTCACTTCTGCAGCAATCTGGGAGACTCTCCCGTCTCCCATATTGTACGAGCATTCCATGTACCTAAATAAATGGTTGTTTTGGTTGTCAGAAGAGGCATCAGCCTCGTGACTTCCAAAGGAAATCGGTTGTCACCACGAGGCGTCATAACTCTTCTAAATGAAGACCTGACTCCCAGGGTAGAGTCTGAAGGGTTTGAATAATTTTTTTCTGGTAAGCGTTTTTTAGCGAGTTGGTTTTCTACGGGATGGGATCGCTAACCCCGGGCCCAACCCTCCTCGTTTATCCGGGCTTGGGACCGGCAGTAGCCCCTAGAGGGGCTCCAGGAGGCGTTCCTGAGTGGCCATACGACGTATTGAAGCAAACTGTATTTAAGACACACTCTCTATGTACATCACGTCTCTTTCGTCAACCTCTATGCGATCGATCCAATACTATTTTCACATTTTAATAGTTCACTTCCTTAACTATTCGTTGTCAGAGGGTTTAGAGACTGAAGACACGCTTGACCCGAAAACAACGTCTTGCTTGGTAGCGGTACCACCAATAATTGACTTCAAAAAACATTCGAAAGTGGAAATAGTGAGGATCTAAACAAACTGAGTGTAAGAATTTCAATAGCAATGATGTCGATTCTGAAAATGAACATGAATTTCGTTCTATTTCACAGACATTTTCGATTTGATGTGTTTAATCTATGACACGGATATTCTTTATTAGTAGAACTGGTTTTGTTTTTGTATGGCCATTCAATCAAACCAGTCTCATTCAGTGAACTATGTACTGTTGCATGATTTGAAACAATGTAGTAACCATACACAGTGAATTCTTAAACGATACAGTAGATAATAGTTTACCCATAAATTCATGGTTTTTATGCCACTTAATAGCAGTTAGAATCTCACATATATGAGGCAGATTTATTAAAGTATTAGTTTGCTAAAACCTAGAAACATGCTCATTTAAGTGCGGGAATTTATCCCATACAACTTAGAAGTGAAATGGGGGATCTGGTCATGAAATATCAGACAACCCATAGGCCTTTAACTAGATTCCAAATAATAACTAAGCGTGAGGTTGGAAGTCCACGATTAAAAACTGAACTATGCAGTGCAATGCATTTAAAAACCTTGAAAATTTCATGAATATACCTTAATTATGATAACTAAAGTACAAATATGAGGCAAACAAAGCAAACAGAAAATATAGCTAGCTCATTTCTTGGGAAGACAGCGTCGGACTTGAAACAGAATTACCAAGGGATTTTGCAATACTACAGTTTCACCATCATTACGCTGCTCGGGAGTTTGACGGGGTCGCTGAAATAACACTGAGTCCTACCCAGTTTGTTTGTTCTGCTGAGTGAATTTAAAAATCTGAATACCTGTCACTAGATGTCTTATTTTCGATAGAACCCTCAGAGTCAAGCATAGATGACATAGAATAACCAATAGACATCATTCAGCAGATGGGTGGGGTAGCATGAATACACTAGCGATATAAACGTCACTTCTAAATATTCATCCTTTAGGTGAGATTTCTCCTGTCCTCTATGTGTACTTAGAAACCAGAGTTGCCTGGTCACTTGATTGAGGCGGATGAAGTTATAGAGCCATTAGCTGATATAGTTTTGACGCACAACTGCGTAAATTTACTTATCACATTGTTCGACCTGAACCCAATGCACTACGTCTACCAACCAATCAACTTGAGCACACCTAATTGAAAATAGTCTATCACCAACAAATTTCACATTGAGATACCAAGACAATAAACTGGAAAATATGTAGTAGTATGATCGCCAGGCAAAATAACATCAGACGAACTAATAATATTAAAACAATATACAAAGAGGACTATAATATACTTCTATGGTTGGAGAATAGGTCATCAGTCTATTTCGGGTAGTCAGGACGTTTGTCAAGCTCTCTCTTGTGTGAGATACTTCTCTCGCAAGAATTATGCGGTAATGTTTTTTATTTTAACTGCAGAACACTCAATCCCTAGTATAGGCTCGCGGAAAATTCTAAGCGGCTGTCAAACGCAACCGTTTCTAGCGGGAAAATGATTGAATATTGTGACTTTCAAAGTCCCTAGAGTTGCAGAATGATATGTTATGTAGTCTGAGATCTCGGTAGTGATGCACATACGGATTAAATTGGACAAAATAAGGTAGTCCAGCGACAATGGCGATGTTAGTTTAACGTCAAAATACGTGGTAATATTGAAGAATATACACAATACCTGAAAAATTTAGTGGCTTGCGTGAAACAATTCATGAGTATCAACAAACTCAATCCAGTCAAACATAAGATATCACTTATATAAAATGTTGGGCAATATAAAAATAATTGCTTCTGAAACAGTAAAGGTTGTCCTGAAAGGCATAGAACACAGTACTATTCTCAGGTGATAACCAAAAAATAGACAATTAAAAGCTATGGAATAAACTATGCACGAAATTTTATACATTGCAAAAGGTAACTACATAGCAACAATGATAGAGGCTACAGTCAGCTGGCAAGTATTTTGTTTAATAATTTAAGGATGCACTATTCTGGTGAAAACTAATGGAGACAATCGATTACACTTTGAGTAAATATGGGAGCAACCAGAATACATTGACCCAGTTTCAACCAATCCTTCGATAGTTTTGTAGCGACTCACTTTTATCAAGAGAACGAGATTAGTGCAATGGAAGCGATTATTATTATAACCAATTGTACCAGGGATTGTTTGGCCGTACTTGTTTGTTTAACTGTACCAAAACACATACATTCTTCCGTTGCTTGTGACCTTGCGCGAATTCGGTCACGCTCAGTAACCACACTTGTAACCTGGCACGATCTCGGTGTTCTTTCGGTACCACGATATCGCCAACAAATACATCTCGACTAGAGCTATCAACTGCTTTTCGATATTTGGCCTACGGGGGATCTTATCGGTTAACTGGCACGTGGTCTTCCTGTAGTGGCGATCATGGTCAAACGTGACTCGACGCCAGACTACAGTTTTTTGTCATTCTCCACTCATTCTACGAGCCATAGGCAGGGGGTGAAGTATCAGAATCAATATTAATATTAATATTAAGCTCCCCATCTTCGTCAAACCTTCGGCAGTGTTAAATGTTTTCATAGTCATATTTTCCAGAATGAGTCGGCAAGATAGTTGAACTACCTTCATAGTTTGCAGTGGTCGTTACTGAGACCGCTTTCTGCTGTAGTTCCACAACATTCTTTTAACGATAAAAGACAGTTTGAGTGAAGGCCGAGTCTATCAATGACATCTTGTGTTGCAGGGAATGTTGAGCAATCATTTAGTGCTCTTTCCGTGATCACAAAACAAACAAATGGAGCTATTTCATGCAGTCTTTGCCCCACAAGGATTGTCGCCAACGGCTGGCATATTAACCGAGTCCTTCCTTCCTGTGCTTCTCCTAAACTGGACTGTTGGGAGACTAAAGAGCCAGTGAGTCTGTTTACAGCCTGATCTATCGTTTGTTTTTCAGATTTCCTCGGCTCCAGTGTACCGAGTTATGTAAAACTTCGTTTGCTTTTGAGGAAAGGGATATTTTGCGACAAGCTTACTGATAACTCAGAGTCCATCACACCAGATTGAAGGCATACGAAAACCACTTGACTACATGTGGCCTTCGTCCTTAAAACATAAAAACATCAACATTTCGTGACGTCTTATAAAATAAAAACACAGTGACAGACTATGTGAAGTTCATTTGTGACATAAACTTTTAGGAGAACATCAGAATTCCGAAGTATGTTGGACTGAATTGTTAGTACAATCCCTACCCCCTGAAACAGTCGTCTTTGGATTGTAGAAACGTAGTCGATCGCAACATTAGCAAACGTAGTATGCTGATGTTTAAGAGCAGTGATACTGCACCCCCCCTATTTTCTGTGTAATACTGGTGTTATACTCTTCATCACAGGTTAGGACACAATCACTAATTTTTGTGGCAGTGTAGGTGTCTCTTCCTATCGACATTCTAAACCAACAAAGTACACCCTGTCCTAAGGTTTCTTTCCAGAATATTAGGTAGCCTGAATCCAGGACTACGTAAAATATCTTCAATATATACTTAAGAAAAACCGTGTATTAAGTTCCCATATCTTGATGAGGACAGTGGTCCGTCGGAACTTGTTCAGAAAAGAGGAAATAAAAAGTTTGAGGGCTAAAACATAAGCTCCACTCAGTTCTTTTGGAAGCCTAAAAGTGTGACGTATGCAGCTCAGAAGGATTGATGTGTCGTATCATTCATAATCCTCATTTGAATAAATCATTAATTTGTTCTAGTACTAATTTACAGCTAAGAAGGATAGAACCAGGAAGATCTCTTATAAACGTCTATGCAAACCTTTTCGTGGCTAGAATCAATAAACTGTGAAACTCTTTACTCAAAGATACAGTGACTGCACCATTCATGGAGTCTTTCAGAGGAAGATTTGATGCTTACTTCAGTTCGTAGGTAGAGATCAAGATCACTCTAAGTATTACTCCATAGTGCCTTCCACCATTGACGATTACCTTGTTTTACGCTTCAGCTTCGGAAAATAGATAACGGCGACTATGCCGTTCCATCATCGGAATGCTCTCCAACCACCCAACTCCAGATCATAAGCAATAATTTGTTCGCTGAAACTATCCAGAAGAGTTTGAAGTAGTCTGGTGAGCTTCCTTAAAGTCCTTTGAGCAGAACCGTTGGAATTCTTGGCATTGACTTACCAATTCCCATTCAAACTTCGTTTTTCACCTGAAGTTATTATTTATTGAATGCTTCCATGTTGATGAACATCATCCGATGGTGAATACTGTCTAATTTATTAATTTGAATAGAAGAGGATCTTCGTAAAACATATCACCACTGTAAATAGTCAAAACTCGCTTTGTAACGGATTTTCATATTTCGTTCGTTATTACATCCCACCCCAATTTTACATGCGTGTTTTATTTGGTCAGTTGTTTGGCGCTCTAAGAAGGTCACTGTGAAGGTTCCGTTACACGCGGCGTGAGTTATCCCATATTTCTGGTAGGCTTGGCTTTTTATACTGACTATATGTTAGGATTGTATTATGAATGATGATAAGCGGATAGTTCCTTGGGTTGATGATAGTGAATTCAGTGACGTTGCTAGGAATGTATCTTCATGCGAGACATATAAACTTCGTCTAGCCTGGGAGACCATAAAAATATGGTTGTGTCGTATGCCTGTATCCAAAATACCACGGTCTATAATTTGCACTTATGAACTTCTAAATGCTTACTTTGAAAATTCAAGCCAAAGTATGGCACTGGCCCTCATGAGGTTTGTCTCGTTGCTATCTAGTGAGTCCCAAGACCGCGAGAGACCGAATTTTGCACTGCCCATTTTGTCTCTTGCTCGTGTAGCAGGCTTACCCAGCTGGCTGGCTGATCTGCGCAATGACATAGCACATGGAATAATACCGTCAACGGACACACTAGAAAGCGCTTTTCGCTGGTCACTAAAATATCTGAGTGAATTTTGGGCGTCCAACGTAAACTATAACGAAGAACAGTTTATCGAATTAGATGGGTTGTTGAAGTGTCAAAGTTTGGCTTTAACTAAATACGTCGAAAATTTACTGCAAGAAGAAAAGACAACTCAACTTGATGTAAAAGAAGTGTTCAGGAACCGTTCAACATATGCTTGCTTTCCGTTGATAGTAAATACAATATGTAGTTATGGCTGTGCTATGTTCGTTGGCGGAAGTCCTCCATGCAACATTGTTCAGGACCAGGCTATCAAACTAAAGCCTCTCTTTAGCACGATGCTATATCACAAGCTTGTTGGTGAGCTTGTTTTACAGTTCATTCTAGGGTTGAGAGATGATCACTCCGTAGACGACGACATTCGACTAGAATGGTGCATTGCCTGGATTAAGGCAATCAAATGTCGTGGGTCTGAAAAATCGATCCTACGTGACTACGTAGATGGCTTGTCATTAGACTGGAGAAAAGCACTTAATCATATTTTGAAACACATGTGTAATAAGTATCGTGATTTATTCATGGAATTGTTGATTATTCGGGATCCACCGATACCGCAAGACAAGTTTGGAGTGATCATGAGCCATATAGATGTGTTTTGCGGCTTCGATGTACCTAACACTCATGAGCTTCAGACACAAGTGCGCCGGGAACATCGCTGGGAGCTTGCTGACTCTTTGTTATGGGCAGAGAAGCCGCTTGGAGCAATAATTCGTTCATGTAAAAACACTTTTTTTAACTCTAATTTTAGCCTGCCATGCCTCGACAAGTAGACAACATAAAGGAGTTCCTACATATGACACAAAGGGCAGACGCGAAGTGTGAGTTATTCCGAAACTAGAGTGATTTTTTTAGCTGTTAAGATTAAAGAAAACAAAGACAATGTCAAGTTTAAAATCAGATGCAGTCGATTTCTATATACGCTTGTAGTCGTGGAGAAAGAAAAAGTTGGAAAAATCAAGCGTTCACTCCCACCAAGTATTAACACATAATTATCAACTAATTCTGCTTCTTTATAGATCTTACTGTGAAGGAACTGTAATATGTTACTTATAATAAAGGTTCCTATATATTGTGTCTTTTTTGGTAATATCTGGGAGTCAGGGAAAGCCCAAATACATAATACGAACCAAACACGGCGCTGAACAGAGATGATCACGTTGAGCAGAAAGAAATTAGGTATATGACACTTTTAACCGGACAGTATCAGGAACCAAGTAAACAAATTAGAAGTAAAACGGTCAAAACCTACCGTTTCCAATTGACGCTAGCATAAGGCATTGAAAAACACTAATTTGAGAGCATAGCAGTAAACAAAGCAATTACGATCATCTGCGTATATGACAGAAGGTTTAACGACCACATGAAATATCGAGAAATATGCGCTAGATATAAGTTGCAACTATCATAAAAAACACGAAGAGAAACATAACTCATAGCAGGTACGTAGTCTCCTTGAGCGCGAGACAAGGTAATTAGATGCCATGTTGAGAAAAGTGATGTAGTGTTTGAAGTTATAATAACCTAGAAACTGTGTCGATCGATCTGTTCCTAGATAAACCATAGTTTGTGCGATGTACTAGAATGTATGGATCAAAGTAGAAGCAGATGAATAACACGAATTAATAGTAATTTAGTCCATCGATATGTTCCTGGATAAACACATTAGATTGCGCGATTAACTGGGATGTATGGATCAAATGCGAAGCACACAAATAACACAAATTCATTTTATTCAGCAAAGCTTGTTGTTCTTGCTCTGTTTAATTGTATCAAGGGATCTGGTTGTATGACATTTAGTGTTCGCTTAGGCTTTTGTGTATGGGAAAGAAGTTGTGATTGACGATTATGGATATGTGGGACTCCTAGATCGTGTGTTTTGTGACTTGGCTTAATTTGTAGTTCTATGTAAATCGGCATCTAAGTATGTGATACGCTAGCTAACATAGCCTACAGTGGTTGTAGAGATGGGAATACGTGCGAGTGGGATAGGGTGTAGCTGAGGAATTTCCCAAGGGTCGTTTTGTTTTCAGGGATGCTTGACACATTGTCTGCAAGCCTACAGGTGAATTTGGCGACCGTGTGCGTAGTGTGTAGTGTCTTGGCCGACCGATGGTGATGGGTTTTTTGCGGAATCGCTGAGTTTTTGTGGTAAGTCGGTGATAATTGTACTTATGTATTGATTGAAATAGGTTTCCTGTGTTCACGATGGTGATCAGTCGTATTTGTTATCAGGAGGTTTTGGTCAGTGTTCGTGGATATTGGTGCGGAAATTCCAGGTTAGTTAGTTAGTTAGTTAGACGGTAAACTCTATTACTGAGTCAGTTCCTAATATTATTGTTGAGTATTTTCATGTTTCCCAGTAATGGTTATATGATGAGTGTATGACACCTCTTATGAATTGTTGATTCGTCTTTCACACTGATCACTATTTTATGCAGTGATTTTTTCTGTTAGTTTCAGATATTCGTGCCGGTTCGTTGGTAAGTGTATACATTTGAACTCCTCCTGATGATGAACTAATTGCGTGTCATATGAATTAAAATTGATCGTATTATTAGTCTGATAAAAGTCCGCTTATATATTTATTGTTCTGTTCAGAATGCATAGAATTATTGTTAAAGTATATTGAGTTTTAATTTGTATTGTTTCCTATTTCAATTGCGACAGGTTATTTCGAATTGGTTGTTTTCAGCATTCGATTGGGAATGTTGATGGATGTGGTTTTCCATTTGGTGGTTTGTAAACTGGGATGTGTCCTACGAGTTCATAGTGCCACTCCATTCTGGCTGTCTGTAAAGAGTGTGATAAGAAGAGAATTGTAAGAATGTAAAAGGCAATATGTAATACATTTTTACAAGAAGCTAAGTCAGTTCTGAATTGTCTTTACTGACTGTGGGGTTAGTTACAGGGGTTCGTGTCTTCAGACACTCGCATAAATTTGTGAATAAATAGATGTGAATTCAGTTAGTACTGATTGGAACGTAGTGTTTATTCGAAGTGTTGGGGAATTTAGGCGAGAAAGACACACGGATGAGTTTGTGGTCGAGATGTATGACTGAGGAGATAGAGAGACTCAGTGAATTTGGTATGGCTTCCGTCAGGTGTTTGAAATGTTACATGTACAATGTCGACAGTTTTACTGTAGATTGGTTGGGGTTCTAGGCGTAGGTTTTTGCTTTACGTGACCAAGATGTGTATTAATACATTTTCTCTTATGTGATTTGATCTGCTCTATTGGACTTGTGGGGGTATGGATGTCTGTTAGTTTTTACTGCTGCTAAAATGCTTATAGTTGGATACTAGCTGACGAACATCTGTCACTTGATGGAAGTCTCCTGGGAATTATGCAGTTTGCTTAGGGAGGTGATAACATAAGTGGATGTTTTGTTGAGACGAGGGATAGTTGGAGTGTTTGATTCCATAATAACCAAGAGACTCGTCGATGGATTTTTTCTTGGGTAGAGAAACACCTTAGTTTGTGCGATGTATGAGTTTGTGTATTTAGTGTTCCAACAGAGCATGAAGAACACGGTTTGTAGAGTAGAATGAATTCATTCTATTCAACGGCTTCTCATCAGCTGCATACAAATTAGAATTACAATTCTCAATGTAATTATCAACAATTGTTTAGCATACTTTATTTTGTAAAGTTTAGATAAATGTCCGAAACGTAACCGAAATCATAATAGTACGAAGAATAGGTATACAAAATACCAAGTATTTTGTTATATCATTCCATGATAGATCAACACCCTTCCGACGTCACCTCAAATCGCATCTATGAATTTATATTTGCTTGCGGTAGCATGTATACAGGAATGATAGATAGAAGGGTGTGTATTAGGATTCTGAACACATTCCTAGGATCGTACGACTGAAAGGGAGTAAAGTGTTTACAAGTGCTATTGTCAGACACCTTTTGGACAGTGGACACGAGATGAATATAAGTAATGCATTCAAAATAATTAACAGACAACAAACACCAAGGTTATTGCGTTTGGCAGAGGTGATCGACATCAAACGTTTCCGACCTGACCTATGTATACAGAAGGGAAGTGTGACTAACCTTCATTTGACATGATGGTCGGATGTTTATCTAATGACGTTCATTAGTTTTGATTTTTAAATTTTCTTTCCAACTCTGTCCCCAACTTCCTTAGCTTTATTATTCTTGTTGGTGTCCACATATTTGTTTTCTTTTATCATGTTGAGTGATTACGCGACCAATTATTAATTTCATTACCTTTACATAGCCTCTTTTACCTTGGTTATGATTACTGGTAATTATAATGCCTACCTTACTCTGAATTATTACAGTCCAACATGTAAATACACATCGATCTTAACTATGTTTATTCATAAATTTTGTATCCGTATTCTTCTTACTATTATGATTTCGGTTACGTTTCGAATATTTGTCTAAACTTCACAAACTAAAGTATTATAAACAAATGTTAATAATTACATTGAGAATTGTAATTCTAATTTGTATGCAGCTGACGAGAAGCCGTTGAATAGAATGAATTCATTTTATCCTGCAAAGCTTGTTGTTCTTGCTCTGTTTAATTGTATCAAGGGATCTGGTTGTATGACATTTAGTGTTTGCTTAGGCTTTTGTGTATGGGAAAGAAGTTGTGATTGACGATTATGGATATGTGGGACTCCTAGATCGTGTGTTTTGTGACTTGGCTTAATTTGTAGTTCTATGTAAATCGGCATCTAAGTATGTGATACGCTAGCTAACATAGCCTACAGTGGTTGTAGAGATGGGAATACGTGCGAGTGGGATAGGGTGTAGCTGAGGAATTTCCCAAGGGTCGTTTTGTTTTCAGGGATGCTTGACACATTGTCTGCAAGCCTACAGGTGAATTTGGCGACCGTGTGCGTAGTGTGTAGTGTCTTGGCCGACCGATGGTGATGGGTTTTTTGCGGAATCGCTGAGTTTTTGTGGTAAGTCGGTGATAATTGTACTTATGTATTGATTGAAATAGGTTTCCTGTGTTCACGATGGTGATCAGTCGTATTTGTTATCAGGAGGTTTTGGTCAGTGTTCGTGGATATTGGTGCGGAAATTCCAGGTTAGTTAGTTAGTTAGTTAGACGGTAAACTCTATTACTGAGTCAGTTCCTAATATTATTGTTGAGTATTTTCATGTTTCCCAGTAATGGTTATATGATGAGTGTATGACACCTCTTATGAATTGTTGATTCGTCTTTCACACTGATCACTATTTTATGCAGTGATTTTTTCTGTTAGTTTCAGATATTCGTGCCGGTTCGTTGGTAAGTGTATACATTTGAACTCCTCCTGATGATGAACTAATTGCGTGTCATATGAATTAAAATTGATCGTATTATTAGTCTGATAAAAGTCCGCTTATATATTTATTGTTCTGTTCAGAATGCATAGAATTATTGTTAAAGTATATTGAGTTTTAATTTGTATTGTTTCCTATTTCAATTGCGACAGGTTATTTCGAATTGGTTGTTTTCAGCATTCGATTGGCGAATGTTGATGGATGTGGTTTTCCATTTGGTGGTTTGTAAACTGGGATGTGTCCTACGAGTTCATAGTGCCACTCCATTCTGGCTGTCTGTAAAGAGTGTGATAAGAAGAGAATTGTAAGAATGTAAAAGGCAATATGTAATACATTTTTACAAGAAGCTAAGTCAGTTCTGAATTGTCTTTACTGACTGTGGGGTTAGTTACAGGGGTTCGTGTCTTCAGACACTCGCATAAATTTGTGAATAAATAGATGTGAATTCAGTTAGTACTGATTGGAACGTAGTGTTTATTCGAAGTGTTGGGGAATTTAGGCGAGAAAGACACACGGATGAGTTTGTGGTCGAGATGTATGACTGAGGAGATAGAGAGACTCAGTGAATTTGGTATGGCTTCCGTCAGGTGTTTGAAATGTTACATGTACAATGTCGACAGTTTTACTGTAGATTGGTTGGGGTTCTAGGCGTAGGTTTTTGCTTTACGTGACCAAGATGTGTATTAATACATTTTCTCTTATGTGATTTGATCTGCTCTATTGGACTTGTGGGGGTATGGATGTCTGTTAGTT